GATAGCAAATTAATAACTGGAGATCTGAAAACACAAGGAATAAAACATTTAACATGTAACGTATTTGGTGAGTTTAGCATAATGGATTTTGAGAGGCAACCGAAGGTATGTATTTCTCTCTGTATATACGTAGCACCTGCTTTTGAAAGCCCCAGCTGCATGCTGTGAATTAAAATAGCAGGAGACTGGTTTGGAAAGTTCAACTAATTTTCTGATTCAATCAAGTTTTAGGTGAGGTTGTAGCCAAAGAGGTGTTCCATTGCTGGCAGGATAGTAATTTCCTACTTTTTAGTCTCATGAGTCCTGCTTTCTCAAGCCTCCTGAATCACTCTATAAAGGTCTTTGCCTCAGGGTTAGGCGCCTTGAGTAAAGTCAGGAGGAGCAAAATAATTATTCAGAAATGATAGATAGGAGAAGTTTTCAAGCAAGCCACCCTCAACCCAGATGTCTTTCTTTCAAAACAATTTTTTTGTATTAAACAATATTAAATTTCCCAATTTTCATGTTTGTTAGGCTTTTAATTAATTAATTAGTTAATTTTATTATTATTTTGAGATGGAGCTTGCTCTGTTGCCCAGGCTGGAGTGCAGTGGTGCAATCTTGGCTCACTGCAACCTCCACCTCCCAGGTTGAAGTGATTCTCCTGCCTCAGCCTCCCAAGTAGCTGGGAATACAGGTGCAGGCCACCATGCCCAGCTAATTTTTTTTTTTTTTTTTGTATTTTTAGTAGAGACAGGGTTTCACCGTGTTAGCCAGGATGGTCTTGATCTCCTGACCTCATGATCTGCCCACTTCGGCCTCCCAAAGTGCTGGGATTACAGGCGTGAGCCACCCCGCCTGGCCCTGTTAACCTTTTAAATGACATGCCAACATTATTTCACATTAGCCATCAGGCTCCCATCATGATGGCACAGCATGCTGCATGGTGATTAAAATGGAAAAAGTTTATTTTAAAATATCAAAAAGTTTTTGGTACTTACAAACATTTAAGTCATTTGGAATTTTCAAAAGCCTTGTGAAATCTTGGCTTAGTAATAATGCACGTGGTAGTTTTTTTGTTTTGTTTGTTTGTTTGTTTGAGGCAGGGTCTCGCTCTGTCACCCAGTCACCCGGGCTGGAGTACAATGGTGTGATCTCAGCTCACTGCAGCCTCAACCTCCCCGGTTCCAGTGATCCTTCCACCTTAGTTTCTCGAGTAGCTGGGACAGCAGGCACATACCACCAGGCTAATTTTTGTATTTTAAGTAGAGACAGGGTTTCACCATGTTGTCCTAGCTGGTCTTGAGCTCCTGAGCTCAAGCAATCAGCCTACCTCAGCCTCCCAAAGTGCTGGGATTACAAATGTGAACCACCGTGCCCAGCTCACATGGTAGTTTTTATCAAGAAAGAAAGTTATTAACTCTCCTTGAAAGAAGGAGTTGAACAACATAGTCAATAAATATATGTATATATAATCATGAACATTCCCTTCTTGGAAGAGTACTGGATGTTGTTCTGAATATGAGAGAACACTTCGATATATAATTCTGTTTTCCATGACACTGATGTTAAGTTAGAATAATCAGAGGATTTCTCTAAAAATGTCTCAGGGGTATTGTTGTAAAATTTCAAGCTTTATCCAGCGAGTATTTTAAAAAGATGTAAGAAACAGATCAACAATGATTTAATTAAAAAAGAAAAAGCAAATACACTGCAATTCAATGTATTTGGGGAATATCAAGTAGAAAAATATGTTGTCTAGTAAACTGGGATGGCTGGTTGCCACTCTGAGTTAAGGCTTGCAAAAGATGTATTTCTTTTATGTAAATTAGTAAATATTATATTTAACAGGATAATAGGAAAGTTAATAATTAAAAGAAGGGGTGGAGGCAGAAAATGCATTTCCTTGTACATTTATTATATTTTACGCAGTTTTGAGAAGCAGTGGTGAATGTCAAGAGCTGTCCATCCCTCTTATATGGTTCTAAATCTCCTATTTATATCTTGGCAGAAATAGAATTTGTTGTGCAGTACCTTCTGGGAGTATTAGCATTCACATTGGAATGTTCCATCAATAATACAGTACAGGCCCAGCTTCAAGAATAAATACCCTGTAGAATCTAGATTCAAAAGGCTTTTAATAAGACAAGCAAAGATAAACGGGGGGAAAAACTATAAAAGAAAACTTTCCTTTTTCCATAAAGGAAGAAGCAGTAGTAATTAGGACAGAATATTCAATTTTTCTAGAACTGGTAGAATCTAAATTGGTGGTATTATCAGGATTCAGTCTGTTTAGTGAATTTCAGTAGAAAAAACTCTTACTGACCACTTTGCAAGGCCCAAACCTGGGTTCCACTGTAACTTTGACTGCATTTTTTATTCATGGAGAAGTTGTAGATACAGGCTCTGTGGGACTAAAATAACTTAGAGAGGGTTTAGAGGTCGTCTCTCCCACAAGGTATTCTCTATAATCCTGAAATACTGCCTGTCATGAAAAAGTGCTTCTCTTTTCTGTATTTCCCATGGTAGCTGATTTAATCAGCATTTACAGACCCTGCCATGGACAGAACAATTGATGCTTTGGACAATACAAAAGAATTAGAAGGGGTGTTTACTCCTAAGGACCTCACAATCCAATCCATTTAGGGTGGCAGAATATTTGCAAAACTAGATATGTGCAAATAAACTATCTATTATTATTGAACAAAGTGACCACATGAATTGAGGGAGTGTTCACAGAAGAGTGAACTGAATGAGGAAGGGTGCTTGAGGACTGCATTTTGGATGATGTTGGCCTGATTCTTAAACCACTCTTGAGGTGGAGCTAGGAAGAAGAATATCTAGGCTGTGGAAACAAAATGTAAAACTTCAAGCACAGCAGTGAGAACATTTTGGAATGATTTGTGGCTGTTGGAGTGGAAGGATAAGGAAGACCTGAGGATGAGCTCACAGGAAGCTAAGGAACTCATGGAGAAATATGGTGAGTATGAGGGGTGGAGAAGGGGGCCAGACATGTTTTCTCTAGTCTGTTAATGTGAAATTTATTAATATTTTCCCCACCCTTCAGGTTGCTGAGACCCCATAATTATGGTGGTCATACAATTTATTATTCACATGGACAATTTTGAGAATTTTCTTAGTAATTGCACACTGAGAGTGTCTGAGGCAAACTGGGTCGCATGGTCCTCTAAGAATAATGTTAACCAAAAAGAACTGGAGCACATTTCAGGCTATTGAGCTGCTATGCAAACTTTCCTTCTACATGTTTTCTCAAGAGAGTAAGGAAAGGCTTTTGTGTATGGGAAAGCAGGTGGGTGGAGCAGAAGGAAAAAACAGGAAACAAAACCGGACACGGAGTGTCTACTGAGCACAATATTCATCTGTTGGGAGTGGGAACAGTTCTTTTCCCCACTCCTCTCATTTTTGAACTACCCAAAATCTGGATCATCAAGGTAAATGGATAAAATCTAGGCAGTTTAGTACAGTGGAAAAAGCTTGACTGGTAAAGAAATTCTCAGGAGAATCATAAAAGTGCAGAGTTGGAAGGTGTCTTTAAACAAACAAAAAAAAAGTTAAGAACACCTGTTTGCAGAAATTGCATTGAGGACCATGTTTAGAGACTGGAATTCTTCATGCATGCTTGAAGAACATTGATTGCTAGAATGTTAATCACAAGTTAATACATTTTCAGTTTTGGCATGGCTGTGCCTAACACCAGTGGATTTAACTAGGTAAGCCAGGGTGGAAGGAGTTGAGCAAGGAGAGCTGATAATGGAGGTTCTAAAGACCTTGAATCTTTCCAACTATTATAGATAAAAAGCTGCTTCTTGCCTGAGAGCTCAAAAATATCTGCTACTCTACTTTCAGGAAACAAGACAGTGTGGGGTCCATGACTGAGGAGGGCACTGCAACAACATTTGAGCTTAGATGCTGCCTAGAGATTGGCTTTTCCGCATATGATGGGGTGTTTCATGGCTTTTCCTTGATTGAATTACAGAGAATGGCTTAAGGACATCTTTGTCTTTCAGAGATCTAAAAATAAATACCAGATAACACTGATTTGTATTATCTGAGACTCTCTCTTAAAGGAACCTGGGCAGTAGCAGAGATAGCACAAAGGCCAGGTCCTCAATCATATTAATAATTTCAAGGTGTCTTCCATCGGCTATGAACTCCCTGTCTCCATCATGATGTTCACTTATTGTTAACTTTTCAAACTTAGGCTTCATATTGTTTGGTATATGTTTAGAGAACTCTCTATTCTCTAAATTGTAGTTATAGAACATTACAAAAATAGTAACAATTTTTCACTTGGCTTGCAAATGTAACTGTATGTTCTCTATGTTTTTAAAGCAGTATGAATAAAGGTATTGAATTCAATTCACTTGATTGAGATAGCTTATTCTCAAAGACATGCTGTCAAGAATTATTACTAAATTTGTTGGGTTGTGTTAGCAGAGACTATGGTGCTCCTGTATTTTTCTGCCAACCTCCCATGCAAATGAACTTCTCTAAAATTACCTTCAAAATTTAGTTTTGGAAGAGAACTTGGAGGTCATCTGGTGGAATGTCTAAAGTCACTTATTAACTTTTCAGATTAGGCTGCATATTGTTTGGTGTATGTTTAGAGAACTCTATTCTCTAAATCTATGTAAATGCTATCTAGAGGAAACAGGTGTTCTACCTATTTTTATGGGCGAAATTTAGACAGTTTGCAGGCTGTCTGCAAGGCTGAGGAGGAGTGGGCGGGGTGATTTACAGAAGTAGAAATTTGTAATGGGAGTAATATACAAAAAGATGAAATGGATCAAGTTCCCAGAGGATAGTTTGTGACTACTGGTGTGCTATTTGAATTCTAGGAAGAATCATATAAATTGTAAAATGGGCCTACTTAAGACTTAAAGGGCATGAATAAATAAATTTGATAAAGGACTGATACACTTTAAATTCGCTATATTACAATCATAGTGTAAGGAGATGGCCTTATCTTCAAACTCTGGGGAAGATAGTGTAAATTTCCATAAGATTGAGCTGAAGAATTTTATTTCCACTTTATTTTGAAATAGGCTGGGAGTGAGAAGGTTTATGTAAACACATGTACTCTTTATATAAGTGACAGAAAAGCAGAAAAGAAAAATAACTCAAGGCAGTTTAGAGGAGGCTATTATGATTATACAACCTGCCTCCCAAGGACTTTTAAAGGCAACAGGAATAAGAATTTAGAAAAAGTTATTTAAATTCATTGTTTTAATGAATTCAACTGAAAATACACAATATGACTCCAGAGAAGTCAAAGCTTTCGACTTTTCATGAGCATGATAGCTTAGGTGGTTTGGAAATAAGAAAGGGGAAAATAATGGAATCAATTTCATTGGGTTAACATGAGGCAGGATGCTATACAGTGTGTGAAGGAAAGAAGACAGGAGACGTAATCTATTTTACCCAATTCAAACCTGCAAAATGCACACATACCATATTTTAATAATTTGTACCTATAAACAATTATATTAGAAAATGTCATCCTTCCCTGTTTCTCTGAAAAACAAAACAAAAAACCCAGGAAGAAGAAGCAAGAGCCCGGTAGCAATACTGATTGCTCTTGCTAATCCTTTGGCTTCCAAATGAAGCTGTATTAAGCTAATGAATCTGTGACCCTGTAAGCCTAAGGCAAATGAAAATGCTATTTGGCCTTTCTTTTATTGGTCTGTTTTTCGATTGCAGAAACAGAAATGCAGGCAGTGTTGTTCAGAAGAATGATTTTCCTTCCCAAATGGTTCAGAAATACACCTACTTTTCCCACCTTGAATTCTGACTGGTCTGCAGGCTTTCTGATGAGTGCTGGTGTTTTCAGGATATGCAAAGTATCCAGGGGCAAGTAGGGAATGGTTGTGAGTCTCTTGTTATAACAAGGACTCTTTAATTAGAAAACAAAACAAAACAAAACAAAACCAACAACCCAACAAAAAACCCAAACGAACAACTTTGAATAGGAAATTCTTGCTATAGGAGAAGTAATAAACAAAACTCTTTACCTTTATCCTTCCAGGAGCTTATTATTCTCTGGTTTGCAATTCTTTTATTAAAAATGATATACTTCAAAATGCTTTCAGTGAAATTGCAGCCTCCAAAAATTATGTTTTCTCTCTACTTAGTTGATTTCAGTTATCTTATAAAAAAAAGCATGGCTAAAGTAAAAGCACAGTGTGTTCTGGAACTAGTAATTGGCTGACCTCATTAGTTCAAAAAAAGCATTTTTCTTTCTCAATTGATGATGGACCCTAGTTGGCACATTTTAGAACCAATATGTTTCAAAATAATGGCTTACTGAACTCTTCTGGCACTTAAAATGTTGGTACAAAAAGTCCTACCTTGCAAAGTTTTTACCTCCAAAAAAGACATGCCTGCTCTAAAACATTACTAAGAAACAAGCTGACTTGGATATTCTGAATTTCTATAGACATCATTGCTCTCCCTGGGACTGCCAGTTTGCATGGAAACACATCTTGTGGCATAATATCCCACCATTCTGAAGACTTTTTCAGGAATAGCAATATTTGGGAGAAATGTATTTGAGAACACTTAATTACCAGACTCTTTTAAGCTTAATTAGCACATATCACACATATCCTTATCTCCAGCTGAAAAATACTTATGTTTTTTTTACTTTTTCTCTCTGTCTCTCTCTTTTTTTTTAATTTTAAAGAGACAGAGTCTCATTCTGTTGCCCAGGCTGGAGTGCAGTGGCAAGATCGTAGCTCATCTGAACTCCTGGGCTCAAGTGATCCTCCCACCTCAGCCTCCCAAGTATCTAGGATTACAGGTGCATACCAACACACCCAGCTAATTTTTTTTTTTTTTTTTTTTAATAAAGAGAGTCCTTGCTATGTTGTCAGGCTAGTCTCAAACTTCTGGCCTCAAGTGATTCTCCCACCTTGACCTTTCAAAGTACTGGGATTACAGGCATGAATGACCATGTCTGGCCAAAAAGACTTTTTCAAATCCCAATGTATATCAATGTTTCTCTTTGCCTTTAAAAAACAATGACATAGTTACCTCTGGATCTTTCAGGAATGAATCAGCCTGTTGGTGTTATCAGTCATTTACTGTCTCTTCCTTTGCTCCTTCCCATCATTTGGACATTTGACTGTTTACCCTGATCAAACCCATTCATTCACTTCTATTCTTAATAGAAGTTCTGGGAAACTGGAAGGAAGAAGTTAGAAGCTAAAGCTACTGGTGCAAATAAAGCTTTGGATTACCTGTGGATTTTGAATATCTCTTCCATTCCTGACCCCCTCAACAGCATGGATAATTCAGTATCTGAATATATGAATAGCCACAAATGACTGATAACAACAAATATCTTTATGATGCAGTTCAAGGAGCAGCTTGCTACAGTTTCCGTTTCTGCTGGTGCACTGTTCCCGAGCCCCACAGGCTTGCAGCCTTCTCATCAGCTGCTGTCCCTTTCAGTGGGGTAGGGGAATGAGGCAGTGATCACAGACACCTGGCTATGGCTTGCAGCAGAGTTACACAACTGCACACACAAAATGGCAGAGAAAGAGCAACAGCTAAATAGATTCTGGTTTGGGCCCAAATCACTAGTCATTTCACTTCATGAGGAAAAGCAAATGCCTTGTAAGTTTACGTTATTTACAATGATCAGATTTTTTTAACATCCACCCAAAGCTGAGGACCACCACGCAACAGGGAACAGGTCAATGAACTATGTACAGAATTTACAAGAAAGTTTACATAATAGTCTACATTCCATTAACAAATTTACCTTTATGTTCACTGCTTGCTTTTAGGAAACAGATATATTTGTTTGTTTTTCTGTTCCCCTCATCCCAGTAATGCTGATTGAACCACCATGAGCTTGTACATTACTATTTTCCCTCCCTCCTGGGATATATGATTTACATTGTTTAGGAAAGAGAATGGTGATACATCACCCTTTGGTAAGATACTATTCAAAATTGTCCATATAAGAAATCTTGGAAATTATTTCCCTCTAGAAGTATTATAAATATATCTTTTTTTGTTTAACTTGGCAAATTGTAATTGAATTCTTTCTTAATATTTATAAAATAGTAATTGATTTTAGAAAGATGGAATTTAGTCAACATTTCTATGTATTGTACATAATGCTTTTAAAGAAACGCCTATCCTTGGACCCTTAAACCAAAGTTTATTCTCCTGCACCACATTTTTTTTCTCTTTGCATTTTCAAAACCCTTCATTGATGGTTAATGCACAATAAAGACAGCATGTATGAAAGCACATATCAATCATTTAGCAGAATTATCAACCAGTCTGCTGTTTCTATTTGGCAATGTAGAAAACAGAGGCAATAATCCTGGATAATTCAAGCCAAAAATATGTCTTGACCTGGATCTTTGCCTCACAAAGCTGGTAAGTGTGATGCACAGGTCACCCCTAATATTTTAAGCCAAGGAGCATGATTGAAAGGAATGAGTATGCAGTCATCACTGTCCAGTGAAAGATGGAATTTCCACTGGATTTACACAAATGAAGTCTGTGACACAGTTTATGTCACAGTTTCTGAACTGTAAACATGGGGTACTTGGACATGACTGTGGCATTAGAGCGTGAGTCTGTACAACTTTCAGCCTCTTCCTCAACTTAAGTAATGCAGGGGAGTATGGCTATTTTCATGGCAAAAAGAAAACAACTCAATAATGATTGAATAAATAATCTATCGTGTAATTATCTGAATCTTTCAAGAATGGGGCCAGTTTTGAGGGCACTTAATGTCCAACAACATTTATGTTTTACGTACATGATTTAGGCCAGGACAAGGGAGACAGCCAGAGAAAGAAGTTGTTTTTTGTTGTTGTTGTTTATTTTCTATTTACTATTCACCCTGAAAGGGGAGGATCTGGCCAGGAGTGGGGCCAACGAGGGATCACTTTGGCCCAGAAGTGTCCAGAAAGAAGCGGGGACAGAGGTCTTTAACCGTAAATATAGCAGCTTCTCCATTCTTCTGGTTACCGTTGCCTCTAAAATCACCTATTTAACAGGATTTGCATAATGCTGGCTGTGACCCCTTTACTGCCCAGGAGGGCATATGGTGACACCAGTTTGTGCCTGATGGGTAGATTCAGGCTTAATAATTTTACATTTTCCAAAGGTGAATATATGAAGTCAAAATGTTCTCTTTTTTTTTTTCTCAAGATGCTTTACATCTAAAACTATAGCATCAAAGTCGTTAGATTTTTAAAGGCAAGATAAAAATATAATAATAATAATGCGAATATTCTCAATCCTTCTCAAGAAGAATAATCTAAATCAATAAATAAAAAGAAATTGTTTGTTGAGGAACATAGATTACAGACACTTCCTTTCCGATTTGGCATTTCTTTCTTAAAGCTTTTAAAAGAGCTTTGACACCCAGAATGATTCATTTCTATTAGGCATCAGCCAACAATGTTCCTTCCTGTGTTTAAAATAAATGGCTGCACAGTAGTTCCTTTGTGGTCATTACAGAATATTAACCTTACAATCACTGACATGGCCATGTGCCACTGTTTTTGGCCATATTATGATGGCAAAGCATCTCACCCTGTAAAGGGACTGAAAAGTTTCAAAATGAATGACTTCATGCTCTAAGGCTGGGGATTTCCTTGACCAGGAAAGTGTGATAATACAATTAAAATCTAAATTAAAATGTGGTCCCTATAACCCTATTATTTTCTCGTGAAACCACTGAGATCATTTTTTTCCAGTTAAAGCAGAGTCTTTGTATGTATGTTATCTTCAACCTTAACTATTCATTTATATTGAAGTTCCCTTTTCCTCTTGCTTTCTAAATGAATATCTCATAACTTTCTCCCCTTCAGCTCACCGGTAAGATTTCAGCATCATCTGTCCAGTGAAGGCTATAATTTCCAGAAACTGATGCTATTGTAAACGTGGACCCTCATCACAGCCTTTGGGAAAAAGCTAGATCATTAAACCAGGCCATCATTTCTAATTATTACCTCAATCTATTTCACATTCATGGGTCAGGTCCCAAACCTCTTGTATCACTGTTTGGTTAGCTTATGGTTCCATTCAATCTTGCAAATGAACATATGGAATTATTAGCTACTAAGGTTAAAAAATAAAATGATGAGGTTTCAATGACATAACATGGGAAGAATCTCAACTGTAGCTGGTTGGACATGTTTAGAATTATGCTGGGCTACTGAAGGATGCCCCTTCTATGAGAACCATGACCAAGATTAATCCACAAGTAGAGATAAGGCAGAGGAGCAATGACAGTGATTAATGAGTGTAGACAGGGTCTGTTCTTTAGGGGCTGGTGCACGTGTTGGAAGTTCTGCTTTTGTCATTGCTCTTGTTTTTATCTGTAGTTCTGCTATTTTCAAGATTTTCTTTAAAATGGAAATATGGTCCTGAAGGGGAATGACACCAACATGGGTGTTTGTGTATTTTCCGAAGCATTCGTTCCAGTGTGGAATGCAGAGCTCAGAGAGCAGAGCCATAAAGTGCCAGCTGAGGCCTGTGTGACTAGGCTGTCACCATTAGATACTGCTCTCTAGAAGGCAAAGAAATATATACTATTTGATTTAAGATTTGGCAGTTCAGATAACTGCCCAGGCACCCTTTTCACAGCACATAAATCTTGCCTTCCTAGTGGCAAGGGCATTATTTTTCTCAAGCAAAAATTGCTCACCATCCCCTTCCTCCCACACTCTCTGGAGCAGGAATGATGGAACTGGGATGGCATGGCTTCTTGGCACAGCATCAGGGAGAGCCAGGGTGATGAGATGAATTCAGGGCTGCACATCTGAAATGGCCAGTTAGAAAAATGGTCATTACCTTCCAAGCTCCTTATTCTCAAGAAAAAAAGAAACATGTTCTCCATCGCTACCAGGTCAACCAGGTTGGATTCTAATGTTAATTTAAAATTTGCCAGAAGTCTGAGAAAAGCATTTTTCAGAATATCCAGCTTAATGGTGCGGTGAAGATGTCAGGTTGGGATTGCGTAACCTTGACCAGCTCGTGCCCTTCCTTCCCTCTTCTTCTGTGGAGCTGTGGAGCCCTTTTACAACAGACATGGGAGAATTTATGGGTAGTGGGGAATCTTCCTTTCCTTTCTAAGCTCCTTTTCCTTTTGCTTCTTCCTGGAAATCTGTAACTTGTCAATGGCTTTGTTTTTTTCATCTGCAATCCTGGAAATTGTGGTTTTTTTTTTTTTCTTTCTTTCTTCTTCTTCTTCTTTTTTTTTTTTTTTTTTGGCAATGTAAGATTGTTACAGTTTACCAGGAAGCAGTGCAGGCGGACAGCAAGGTCCTCTTTTCATTTTGACTTAAAAAATAAATCAGTAAAATCCGGCACAACTAGAAAAGACTGCTAAAGATCTACCTATCTAACTTCTCTCTTTGTGTTTGTTTGTAAACATGGCAATTAATAGAGCTCTTAAAGAGCTGATAACCTGGACCACAGTAGACTGAAAAAAAATAATTATTTTTTGTTTTGTCTTTTTGAAGTAAACATGGTGCAGTAATAAAACATATGCAAGACCTAAAACCAATTGGATGGCTGAATCTCTTACCTCAAGAAACACAGCAGTATCGCTGTTGGGGACCTGTAAGGTTAAAAAACAATAGAAGAGGAAAGTAGTCTAAATGGAACCCTTAGAACAGACCTCAGTGTACATAGTAAAGCCAATAAACGACATTAAAAAGAGAAAAGGTGATGGGGAAAAACATTCGGGACCACTTGTCTATGGAATTCACGTCAGTCAAATCGGGGATTTTGACTTTGAGCTGGGAGGCGCGCCTGCGGATGCGCCCCTTGCTGGGCACCCCGTGCCGGTCCAGGGCGCGCCCGTAGGCTTCGCGGCTGCTCAGGGGCTTGCGGTACTGGATGCTGGCGCTGTCGTAGGAGTACATGGTGGCCTTGGGGTCGCTTACGCTCGTGAGCACTTCAGAGCCACCTGTCTCGTTCCGGATTTCCAGGGTGCTGAGGAGAATGTTGCCGTGGGCATCGACCTGATGGTAAAAAAAACAGGCTGAGACACAAGTCTCAGGACCTTTGCTGTTTTCATTAACCTGTCACTAATGACACTCGTAAGGCTCATTAAACATTGTCTCCCTAAACATTAGGTTTGATATGCCTCCTGGACATGGAGATTATCTATCTATCTATCTATCTATCTATCTATCTATCTATCTATCTATCATCTATCTATCCATCCATCATCCAACTAGCTGGCTAGCTATTCATCATCCATCCATGAATGCCTTTATCCATCCTCCATTCATCCATCCATCCATCCATGCATCTATATCTATCCATGTATTTATCCATCCATGTATGTATCCATCCATCCATCCATCCATCCATCCATCCGTCCATCTGGCCATGCAGCTATCTAATCTATCTGTTATCTATCTGTCTACCTATCTATCTTTCCATCATCCATCCATGCATCTATCTACCCATCATCTATGTATCTATCCATCCATACATGCATTTAGCCATCCATCCATCTATCTATGTATCTATGTATATCTATCTATCCCTTCATGTATGCATCTATCATCCATCCAGCTATCATCCATCTAGCCATCATCTCTATCATCTATCTCCACTCACGTGTGTGTGTGTGGCGGTATTTCTTCTTGTTATACAAGTGATACATGGAAACAAAGCTACAAACACAAAACAAAAAAATAAAAATTCATAATCTTACCTTCAGAGTCTATCATTAACAGCTCACTTGCCTTCCAGTCTTTTCTATGTTTATATACTTACAAACACAGATTCATTCATATATTTTGCCTTACCATCTGCTTTTCTCAGTAATACAGCCTGGGCATTTTTTCTTGTTAATAAATATTCCTCCGTGACATGTTTTATTAATAGCTTACATGAATAAACCATAATTGAATTAATCTGTTTTTAGATGTTAAGGTCTGTTTTACTTTTGTAGTATTATAAAAAAAAGTCTAGAAGCAATATTTTGTAGTTAAATCTTTGTGCATATTTATAATTATGTCCTCAGGCAAAACTGACATATATGATTAATGGGTCAAAGGATTCGTCTGAATATTGTTTGACTTTCATTCCTCTTACTGCTGTTCACTGATGCTTCATGTGGTTCCAGCGATACCTATCCTAGGTTTCTTGGTTCTTCTCTATGCTATGCCCACACGTACCCGTTTGGAACTACAAACAGTGTGAACACAGATTGGCTTAGAATGTCACCTTGTTTAACTTCAAGCTGACATACTTTGCAAACTGACTTACCTGGACGGGATATGGCTTATACATAAAAATGAGCTTTAAGTACTTCCAAGGCCACTACACGAAGCTGTGCTAACACGTGTATTAGCATAGTGCCTGACTTATAGTAAGGGTTCTAAATGCTTTTGAATGAGATTAATCTTAGTAAACACTTAACACACTAGGTATAGGTAAGGAGGCGAAAGAGCCTGGTGAGGAAGAGATAGAGAAAAACATAGGAAGCAAATACAAACAAGAGGTAAAGAAAAGAAAGGGACAGAGGATAGATAGCATGTGATGGTGCAACCGTAGTACAGTTCAGAGAACTAAAATTTATTGAGTCTCCACCATGAGCCTAGCATATATATTTCTTAACACAGCAACGCTATTCTAAAAGGCCATCCCATCCCCATTTTATAGATAAGGCAACTGAGATTTAGAACAGTTAAAAATCTGGTTCTTAACTCAGTTAAGTGCCAGCTCTGATATTAGAACCTATGTGTATCTGACTCACAGTTCAAACCCTTTCTACTGAAAGGAACATGTCACAGTCCTTGGCCTTTGTTACACCACACAGAAAGTTCAGTGATGCATTTATTAGCTTTAAGACTTGAGTCGGTCAGAGAGAGAAATGGCAACTGACTCTGGCTTCTGTCATCTCTCTCTCCCTTTTTATCTATCATCATTTCCCTCTGTGAAGCACTGCGCTTCAGTCTAATTGGGCTACCCACATGCCCTGACCCTATACATCTATTGGTGACTTTATTCAGGGAGTTACTATTATTATTATTATTACGTTGTTGTTGTTGTTAATGACTACTATTTATTGAATTCTACTGTGTAATTTATCTCAGTAATTTCAGTAATTGAATCTTACTAATTTACCTTAGTTATAACAACACTATGACACACATGTTATCCTAATTCAGCAGACAGGGAAACAATGCTCAAAGAAGTTAAGTAAATTAAACTGATTAAACAATAAGTCCAAATTTGGGATTAAAATAGAGAATATTCTTTGTCTCAAATATTATTTTATTTCCTCTTTGTATATTAATCAAATCAACCTGTTTTGGCCAAGGCTCAATTTAAATCCTACTTTCTCGTGTATCTTTGTACTTTGCCTGCCTATAGTCACCTCCAAAATTTTCTCCCAACATTTATTGAGTGCTTACTGTGTGACAGATAAAATGTTAGGTGACCAAGGATATATGCTTAGCAGAACTAGCATCCTTACCCTCAAAAACCCTTAGCCCTTACTTTTACAGCAGAATTTACAAACTCAGCCACCTACAGGGACCAAAAAGCATGGCCGAGTAGAGCCAGTGAAAGTAAGTAATTGAATGAAGCTAGGGAGTGGTGATGCCGATGGGGATTTGGAGAGCAGATGTCTAAGGAGGAGACTGCAACTCAGCTCCAGTTGACGACTACACTGAATGAATTAGACCCTAATGTTGCCAGATCACCCCCTTTACCAGAAAACCTGAACATACTGATTTTTATTTGGTCTTTTTTTTTTTTTTGAGACGGAGTTTCGCTGTTGTTACCCAGGCTGGAGTGCAATGGCGTGATCTCGGCTCACCGCAACCTCCGCCTCCTGGGTTCAGGCAATTCTCCTGCCTAAGCCTCCTGAGTAGCTAGGATTACAGGCACGCGCCACCATGCCCAGCTAATTTTTTGTATTTTTAGTAGAGACGGGGTTTCACCATGTTGACCAGCATGGTCTCAATCTCTTGACCTCGTGATCCACCCGCCTCGGCCTCCCAAAGTGCTGGGTTTACAGGCATGAGCCACCGTGCCCGGCCTGGTCTCTTTTTAAAGTTGGCTCAGTAGTGTAAAAATGATCTTCAGGTCAGATGAAACATATCTGTGTTCAGATCTGGCTTTTGCATGACCAGTTAGGGACCTCTTTTTTTTTTTTTCCATTCACATATCCTTTAGCATATATTACTTTGTGTTGATACCGATTTTTAGGTTACAGTTCTATTTTCCCAACCAGAGCTACTAGGGTGCTCAGAGGATAGATAATGAGGGCCTGGACTAAGACAATGTAGCAGAAAGAAAAGGAAAACTACACTAAAGATGAATTTTTGAAAAATGTTTAAAATAGAAATGAAACTGATTTGGCCACAGGATTAGATTTGTAGCACAAGGAAGGGAAGGTGATCTGGAAACTGTCAGCCTGTTAGGCTGAAAGGATTATATTGCCATCAGCAGAAATGGGTGTTTAGTGTATGTTGCATGTATGGGGAAAAAGGAGTTTGTTGTTTTGGTTGAATTTGTGATAGACGTTAGGCATCCTTGTGGTGGTGTCCAGCAAGTAATGTATACGTGGTGATAACTGGGATAATGTTGGGGCTGAGATTATTTTAGGAGTGGGAGGTAGCTATGGGGTTGGTGAAAGAGACACAGAGAAACTACAGAGGTAGAGAACAAACGACAGAATGCTATGAAGAGAAATTCCAGAGGGGAAATAGGTATCCAGAAGGAGAGAATGGTTAGAAGTGTTTCAGAGAGAACAGGGAGAATGAAGAAGGCTCATAGGGTTATCAATAAGGGCATTTGTGGTTTTAGAATAAAAACTGAAGCAGAACCCGCATTGCAAGGGATTAAAGACTGAATTGGTAGCAAGGAAGAGAAGGGAGTTTGTATGGACTCCCCTTTTCAAAAGTTTGCAGGTCAAAGGAAGAGAAGAAATAAAAGCATTAGCTCACATATATCCTTAGAGATATAAGAGTGAAGCATAATATTGGGAGTGACAAGTTTTCAATCAAATGCTAACGGTATAATATAGACCATGATTAGGGATTCATCAAAGTGAGAAATCACTGGGGGAGGGGGTCACAGAAGCCTTCATGTCACAGTGGGGCTTGCATTGAGTTTTAAAGGATGGGTAGGACAGAACAAAAATTGAGAGTTGAAAGCTATGTTATTATTCTAGTTTTATTACCTACTCAGAAATGGTCTTGGACAAGTCTGGGTCTCAGTTCCCTTATCTATAAGTGGAAGATTTTCATTAGATAATCTCAAGGATTGGCTTCCAATCTTTGACAGTTTTTTATTATGAAGAACATTCCAGGTGAAAGACACAGCATTCAAAAAAAAAAAAAAATTCTTGTAAAATGGAATCACCTGGTCTGTACTGTATGCATCATTAAGTTATATTATTATGAATCTCTCTAAGTAAACAAAGTTGCTAGAATTTAGAATCAGCCAGTGAAGCATACAGATGCTTCTAATTAAACAGAAGTCAGGGTTAACAAGGGACATTTTATTAAGCCATTTTAGTTAGCCTTGGTGCAGATTCAAACATGCCTAGAAATTGTATGAGGTTTATCAGTTTGTGCAAATCCCCCAATATTCTCTGTCACTGAAAGCTAGAAATCATAGCTTTAAGTGGGTTGACATTTAAAATAATGGATCTAGTTCTGCAACTATCCATGAAAGCTGATTACATTAGCACAGAGTTTTACATCAACATCACCATGTTCTTTTCATGGAAAAATTTTAAAGTAGCCGTATAACGATTCTTGCCCACTTCCATTTTCTTTCTTACCCAGAGTAGGACTTGTCCTAAAGGCTGTTAACAGACTTGTGTGTGTGTGTGTGTGTCTGTGTGTGTGTGTGTGTGTATACACATGCTCATGCATTTCTTCTGCAGTGTGATATTTTATCCCTCGCCATCCAGCTTTTTGCTGTCAGGTAAGGTATTCATGTGGTAGCCTTACCACTGCTGACATCCACAAGTTTCTGGTTGGCTCTG